GGGGGTTTGACTGAAAAAAGCCAATAACTTGGCTTTTGCCGATACAGATGGTACTTTGCTAGCACCATCGGATGAGAAATCATGTAAACAAATGGTCTTCAGATTTTTCCCCTCTGGGGCATACTTTTCGAGATGATAGCAATTGAAGAGGCGGGCGTACTTGGGCAACTGCAAATGACGGATACAGGCAATAATGATGCTGGGAGCGGAATGAGTCCCTACATGATCGGCTCAATGTCATGGGTCACGTGCTGCAGGGGATGGCTGCCTCTACAGTTATTGTTATTATCTCAAAAAGTGAGCACTGGAGGAGGGAAAAACGCTAAGGACCATTTCTCTAGGTTTTTTTCACGCTCTATTCAATAATACTTTCAACATACCACCTTTACACGCCGAAAAATACCACCTCTACACGCCCAAAAACCAAGTTATTGACCTTTTTGAATCCAAAACTTCCCTAAAATCCCACTGTTAAGCAAGATTTTGATTGCGCTGGTGTCACTGATGAATTCAGCACTTCAAATCAAGGGTGCGCACCAATTTTCATGAGCTTTGGTGCAGTATCGTTGCAAAAATACAGGAGCCATTTTGACTCACAGCACCTGCTCTTGCAGTCTGACGGTTTAACCTTGAATCATCCTGTATAACTGGGATCTAACGAACCTTTGTGACAGTTTTTCCCGGAAGTATCCCACGAAAGTTAGCATGGCTATTCACTTTAATGTGATCCACATCAAACATTCTTAGTGAAAATCGGTTCATCCCTCAGTTTAAGAACGTCAAGATGGTTAGGGGATTATTTTTAGAACTTGTTCAAACCTAGCCGCGACTCATCTTGTTCAGACCTTCAACTTAAGCTCTCTGCACTTACCCTCTAAAACCACTCCCTTCTCACGAAAATTTCAAGTCCAAGAGGAGAATGATTTTGTTAATTCGTCCGTTCTTATGAGGGGAACTTCTCAAGCTGCCGCCTCCGGTTGGAATGAAATTTTTTCCATGGACTCATGGAAGGAATTCATTATGACTGTGTTTTTTTGTTATCCCAATGCACCCCAGGAATACCATAAAAAAATGCTGATAAGTCGAGTTTTGAGCGTGAGTTAGACACTCAGTCATGCTTTGCCGGGAGGGCTAGTTAAGACAAAGCAGCGCCGGAGCCTACATGAACACTGTTCATGTAGTTTTTAAGGCGTATTTGTTATTGTTATATTAGTATTATGGCAACGCTAGCTTTGAGTAACCTATGCTTAGGAGAGGAGAGTGAGGATACAAGACATCCCTGCACTGTGTGAAGATGTAACTGCTGCATACTCTGAATATAGTTCCTAGCTAAAGTTATAAATGTGTTTTCTTTTCATTACCCATATACTGCAGTCTTCACCCCGCTCATGTTAGCTTAATTGAATGTTTAGAATCTTTTAAGTGTTTCTTGAATGTACTTTAATTTATTCCTGCAGGAGTCAATGTGGAGCATATCGGAACTTTCCACGGAAAATGGAAAAATTCGTGCAAAAGCCATGGTTGAAGAATTTTAGGACAAAGCTTCTGGTTAATTCAAATTGTCCTGTCAACTGAACCTTTAACGGAGTTCAAGAAGGGTGTCTAACTAATTTAACTCCTCCTGAGTATCAAATTAATCGTCAGGAAGGCTGTCGAATGAATCACTGAACCCTTTAGTTTTGAAACCTGTATGGCTTCCTGTGTTACAGTTGTAGTCTCCTGGTATGATTCAGCAAAGGTTTTTCTTTAAGTTTGAGAAGAGTCAGGTGGCAAATAATATTTTGTTACGTTATGCCACAGAGCGCACATACTTTTCTTGCCCCTCTCAAGTCTTTTTTTTGATGATTTTTGCCATGTTCTCTATTTTTTTTATAAATGCTTTTTTCTCGTTCATCTTTCCTTTAAAAATCGAAGTTAGTAGTTTTTTTTTTTTTCACCTTTAAGTTATGATTCACTCACGTATTGATTTTATTTATATTCTTTGTTATTGTTNGTTTTTCCCCCCCCCCCCAAACCCTTATCCGACAAAAATGTTCCCTGTGCATTTCAGCAAAATCAGGGAGATGGATAATTCATGTACTGATGGATGGTGAGAGGATAATTTGTATACTTCTGACGATGGGTTTGGTGGATTTTTCTCAAACTATCGTTCATGAAACTGTTGGGCAATCTAAATTTATATGTAATCCTTATCTCCTAATCCCATATCCTTATCTTTAATTCTTTATTCATAATTTATTTCTCTTTTGTCCTGGTTAGTTCTTGTTTTCTTCAATTCCAAGTGTCTTAATTTTAGAAGTGTCATCTATGCAGTGGAATTGCTAGCAATTCAGTCCTTTGAGTTTTTCAATTTCATTCTGCAGAATTAGTCTGGAGTCTCGTCCTTTTATGTGTAACAGTTTTCCCCTGGGGAGTTGCTACAGTAGAATGTACTGCAGCCTTGATTTTATTCATAACTGCTCCTGCCGAGTCATTTAAACATCTTATACTCATTTTCGAATAATATCGCACCACACGCTTAAGATCTGATGTTTGATCTCAACAGTTAATTAAAGTCAGTCGAATCACTTGATCCTGTATGAATTGTCTGTCCATTTAAGTGTTAGTGAAGAGGTCTCATTTCTCTTAACACGTAAGTAGTCCTGACCACTTTCTCAGTAGTTTGTCCCCACTTTGACAGACATAACCTTCACGACCCCCAACAGCTCCAGGTGAGAGACAACCATTGAGGGGAGCCTTAAAAGTCATCGACAAGGAAGCTGGGCCGCTAGATATTTCTTGAAAATTATTCAAGAGTACCGATCTGTACGCAGGCAAAATCTTCACCATAGCAACACATTTATGATTCCATAGTCAAAAGATGAGAACCCCCATTTATCACAGTCTTCCAAAAGTATCCCTATTTGGAAGAAAATGAGGAAAAATTACACAAAGAGATCTAATAAAAAAAGAGAATAATGGAGAAATTTTTATAGGAAATAGTTAGTTCGGTATACAGGCACTGAGAAAGAAATCACTAAAATATTTATAAAGATGATATTTCATTCAATTATGAAATATTTTGAATCAGCGAAGGAGCTGGATGGATTTACTATTATGGTAATTACCTTGTAGCAGCAGCTCTAATAGTTAACTAATTAATGGGGATTCAAAACATTTTCTTGCTGAAAATATACAAATCTACAACTCCTGCCCCTCTTCCAGTCTGAAGTCACAAGTTTGATTGTCACCAACCAACGAATTGGTGCTAGTACACGAACTATCCATCAGAAACGAGTATACTAAGTACCTTTTGTGCTCTGAAATTTACACAAAGACATAAAGACGGAGAGCTAAAAGCAAAAAAATGAAGCTTCTTTTCAATCACCTCTACTGTTGGCTAGAGGATTGGCGGCGAAATCGGGACAAGTTTGAAATTCAAATGTAGGGCGGGAACTAAATAAAATTGCGGAAACAAAGTATTTTAGGTTGATTTTTGCTCAAATTCACTTACACACTCATATTTTTATAACTTTAGGTTAGTTTTGGTCCGTCGTCGACCGATTAATTTCATTTGGGAGTAACGGTTATCTAGAACTGTAACAGCCTGTTTGAACCTGCAGAACCACCCTGAGCAGGAGAAAAACTAACTTTATTTGAGATTACTGCTTGTTACCGAGCAAAAGTAGGTGTATTATTATAGGACGCAGTCCCAATTTTCTTAATATATTCGTTTTAGGCATTTAAAATACGTTTCAAAGAAGAAATGTAGAAAAGCAAGAGTCAAGAGGACAAGTTCAAATCAAATTTCCGTTTGCCGCCATGGATTCCCGCTCTCATTTACACACTCACATAAGCATCCAGCGCCAAACCAGGCTTCACTTTTTCCCCGTGCTTTTAGATACGAGCACTCCGTCTTTATGTTTTTGAATTTACACCATTGTGCAGTTCATCAGGTATATCAATGCCAAATTTCTTTACAAAATAGTGAAAATAACTTTGAAACCATAGCTCAAGTGAGGACGACAAATCCGAGAACAACAACGATTGAAGTGAAGAACACGCGTAATTTGAAGTTAAATTGTACTTCTTGAATCAGGTACCTCGAAATGTTTTCTGCTAAAATTTTTTCACATGCACACATACAGGGTTATCCAAAAGTCTCGGACACCCCCCCCCCCATAACTTTTGAAAAAAAAAATGAGAGGGATTCCAAATTTGGGGAATGTTCCTTGGTCAAAGGGAATCACTTTATGGCGTACCCAAAATTTTGGGGGGCGTTCCCCCTGAGGGGGCGGTCCCTAACTTTTTTTTTTCCAATTGGAACCCTTATCTTGTCATATATCATTCGAAAGAGCTTAAAATTTTTGGTGCAAACCGATTATCAATATCCTAATTTTCCACAAATTCGCGGGGTACCCCGAAGTCCCCCACCCCCTCATGACTTTAGAACATTAAATGCCAGAGATTCGAAATTGAGGAATGTCTCAAGGTCAAAGGGTACTACTCTTTGGGGTAACCAAAATTTCGGGGTCCCCCCTGAGAGGGGGCGGACCCTAATTTTTTTTTTTCAATGGGGAATCCCTATTTTTTGATGCATCATTCGAAAAGGCTGTAAGAAGTCGTAAACCATTTGGCGAAAGCTGGCTGTCGATATCTCAAGTTTAAACAAAATGGCGGCCAAAAAATGGCAGAAAATGCGTTTTTTGGTTTATCGCCCACGGGTATGCATTGAACTTGGTTTCCAGGGGTTTTCGGGCACGAAAAAAACTAATCCGATCTCGGATTTGCACAAACCAAGTTTCAAGTGAATCCGTCAGTAAATGGCCAAAAAACGCATCCTCAGCCATATTTTGGCCGTCATTTTGTTAAAACTGAGGTATCGACAATCGGTTTTCGTCAAATGGTTTCTTTTTTAAAACCCTTTCGAATGATGTAGCACAATATAGGGGTTCCCATTTGAAAAAAAAGTTAGCGGCCACCCTCAGAAATGGATACGCCAAGAAATAGTTCCCTTCAACTAAGGAACATTCCCCAAATTTTGAATCTCTAGCATTTTTTTCTCAAAAGTTATAAGGGGGGTCCCGGACTTTAGGGTAACCCAGTATGTGATGTGCTATGAAATGATTTGAGTTTCAGAATTGTTTTAAGACATCTTATGTTAAGAAATTATCAATCAATGGATCGACTCATGCATTGTTCTCATTAGTTCTGTAGATCCCTCTTCAGCATTCTACCTTTTATTTCCAAGCAAATTTTTAAGTTTCCTTTTCTCAAATTTTATCTTTTACTTTTAAACTAGGGTCTTCAAGAATGAATGTCAAAATGTGGATTCATGAGCTTAGATACAGTAAAACTTGAACCTAGCAAACGTCAATATAACGAATTCTTCGAATGAAATTTGTTTTTTCATCTCATAAAATCCCTACTTTTGTAAACTTAAGATGACACGTCAAGCTCACGTGACGTGTTCGAACCGATTAAGTGAAAAATCTCGGCGGATTGTGAATTCTCAGCAGAAGAAAAGGACGATAGCCCGTGCCTAAGCCTGAAGAATCATTTTAAACCCAAAAATCGCAAAATTCAGAGAAACGAAAGCAGAACAGTGTTAAGAAAAAAACTGCGCATTCGAAACAGAAATCGATAGCTGTATAGAATGAGAGGTTCTTTTCCTAACACTATTCTGCTTTCATTTCTCTGAATTCTGCCGATTTTTGGGTTTAGAACGATTCTTCAGGCTTATGCGCAGGGGCTATTGTCCTTTTCTTCTGCTAAGAATTCAAAATCTGCCGAGATTTTTCACCTAATCGATGCGATACATCGCATGCCAGTTCGACCACGACACTTGAGCTTGACGAATTACCTTTGTGTGATATAGAGAACCCCGCACACTCCTTATGGTGATATATATCACGATCGATTTCTAATTCTTTATTGTATTAAACTCGTCTATGGATGCTGATCAAATGTTATCATTGCGCCAATTCTCTACAAGACACAGTTTTCGTACGATCCGCAGCACCAATTTTCGATAATTACTTGAATAAGCAAAGGCAGTGGGAAGATGAAGAGTCAGAAAGATCCTTCTGTCTCTCAGCACATGGTGGAAACGAGAAAAATCCGTTAGTTTAAGGCGGATTCCGTACACTCATCCTTTTCACCGTCCAAATTAGTTTCTTTCTCTCTCCCACTCTTTTTCTTACCTGTCACTGGCTGGGGTCTTTGTTAAATCGCCGTGCTGCCCTCAGCTATTCTAGGAAATATCGAAACTTCACCGCGAATTGTGCCTGGTAGGAAGTTGACGCAATAATGACTTTTGATCAGCATTCATAGACGAGTAAAAAGCAATATAAAATTGGAAATGTATCGTGGCACATACACATGCCCATAACGAATGTGGGGGGTCCTTTGTTACCAGTGAAATTTTGATTGATCGAAGGATATTCTTGGTCTCAAAGTTCTAAAAATTTACCCATCCTGTAAACTCTGCATCCAGCAAATCCTGAAGATGATAGTCCAATCTAAAGAAACATAGAATTCTAATTGAGGACTGAACCCTCATTTTGTTCCGTGTTGCTGCTGCTAAGAACTTTTAATTGGACCGCGTTAAACAGAAAGGAACTAAGCCACATCAGCTATCGCCAAATGTAATTGGGCAATTTAAGTTTTTACATGAAAATTGTTGTGCGGATTTTCGTGCAAATTTCAGTGAAAATTCTCCCTGGCACAAAGCAAATTCCTTAAAATTTTCAAAGAAATCTGAACAAACGTTCTTTCGTAAAAAATTTAATTGCCCAGTTAAACTTTACAATAGCTGATGTGGCTTGGTACCTTTCTGTTAAACTCGGTCCAATTTGTGTCGTAGAATGCGTTCATGGTGCGACTTGCTGGTCGACTTGCGATTGCTCGGAGACCAAAACCGCGTATCTGATGC